GGGACTTTTAGCCCCAACCCCCAACGTCCAGGGAAGGGAAAGGGGCTGAAGGTTGAGTTGATACAAATGACCAATGATATTATCAATCATGCTCACAATAGTGAGGTCTTCCTAAAAACCCAAAAGGACAGGGCTCAGAGAGCTTCCAGACAGCTGAACCGGTGGCAGACCTGGAAAGCCCATGGAAGCTCTGCACCCCTTCCCACATGCCTCACCCTACACGACTCTTCCATGTGCTCTTCATCTGTATCTTTTGTAATATCCCTTGTAATAATTAAGCAAATGTAATAAAGTGTTTCCCTGAGTTCTGTGAGCTTCTCTGGCAAAGGAATGGACCCCAGGAGGGTGTAGGGGGAGCCCCACTTCGTAGCCTACCAGTCAGAAGTACAGGTGGCAACCGACTGCTTGCGACTGCTATCTCCAGTGGGAGCCAGTCTTGTGGGACTGGGCCCTCAATCTATGGATTCTGATGCCAGCTCCAGGCAGATAGTGTCTGAGCTGAGTTACAGTACACCCAGTTGGGGTGCCCTGGAGAACTGCTTGGTGTGACGGGAACACCCCCCTCCCCATATCTGGTGTCAGAAGTGTTGTGTTGAGTCCATGGCTGTGTGAGAGAAGAGGGGAAAACAAGAGTTTACTTTTTCCTTTCCTCTCATAATCTCTCTCCCTTTGGTCACATTATTAGGTCGTCTTTTTAATTTCTCTCTTTTTAATTTCTCCATCTTATAGTTTTCAGTGCACAGCTCATAAATGTATTTTGTTAAAGTTATCCATAAGTATTTCATGTTTGTTGATACTATTAATGTTATAAAAGGTATGTACTTCTATTGATACGTTGCTAGTATACAGAAATAATCTATTTTAGTATGTTGTCCTTGTAAGCTGTGACCCTGCTAAATCACCTTAGTCCTACTGGCTTCTCTGACTCCTTGGAAATCTCTACAGATAATTATGTTCTCTCCAAACAGAGACAATATTTCCAACTTTCCAGTCTGCCTACCTTCTCTTTTTGCTTACCTGATTGCACTGGCAAGGACTTTCAGGAGAGCGTGAACAGAGGCCTGCTTGGTCCTCAGTGCCGGGGAAGTGGTCAGTCTCACCATCAGTATTATATCAGCTACAAGTTTTTTGTAGACATCCTTTATATAGTGAGGAATTTCCCTTCCATTCTTAGCTTCCCAAGAATGTTCAATCATAAATGAGCGCTGAATTTTCACAAATGCTGCTTCTGCTCACCTACTGAGAATGAGGTGGTGGTATGTTTGTTCCTCATTCATTCTACTGAGTGAATTTTCAAAAGAGAAGCATCCTGTATTCCTGGGAGGAATTCCACTCTCACCCCACCTTCCCCACTTGTCCCCAGGTTACTCCTCCTCCTCCCGTGCTCCAGGAGGCCTTACTGAGGTGGACACACAACTCAGAGGCATCTCCAAGTGCCCACTTTCCTGTCTACAAGTCATGCCCTGGACACACCGTGCTTCACCAAGACAAAGTCCATCACATGGGCACCTCCACAGACACACGCATGTCACGCTGCTGCCAGCTCTTTCAGTCTCCCTCTCAAAACCCTGAGGATGGCCTGGCACGGTGGTTCATGCCTGTAATCCTAGCACTCTGGGAGGCCAAGGCAGGTAGACTGTTCCAGGTCAGGAGTTTGAAACCAGCCTGAGTAAGAGTGAGACCCCGTCTCTACTATAAATAGAAAGAAATTAATTGGCCAACTAATATATATATAGAAAAAATTAGCCGGGCATGGTGGCGCATGCCTGTAGTCCCAGCTACTTGGGAGGCTGAGGCTGTAGGATTGCTTAAGCCCAGGAGATTGAGGTTGCTGTGAGCTAGGCTGACGCCACAGCACTCACTCTAGCCTGGGCAACAAAGTGACACTCTGTCTCAAAAAAAACAACCCTGAGGACAAGGAGACACCCCAGCACACAGACCCTGCCCTTCTCCACATGTTCTCACACAGGCTCTTTCCCACGCACTGTGCTCCTCCCTCCCCGTGACTCTCAAAGTCAGGAAGCCCATGCTGCCCCAGCCCACATGACCCTGAGGTTTACACTGACTGACCCCAGCCAATTCGCCCATCCACCTCTCCTAATAATATCCCTGGGTTTCTCAGACGTAAGAAATCCCACACTGGGAAGAGGGAACTGTCATGATGTATAGAGCCTGGCCAGTCTCCTCAGGTGTTAGGCCATACTGTTCCCAGCCTGGGGGCTGGCCACAGAGCCCCTGTGCTCAGAAGGGAGTCCACCCAGAGAGTGTCTGGTCTGAACATGGGAAGCTCATAGCACAGGGGCTGAGACTCCCAAAGGATTACCCAAGGACAGGCCGGAAGGAACTGTGACCTCCTCCCCTATCAACCAAGACCCTTCAACGGCCCCCAAGCCCAAAGTCAGGCTCCACGGAGAGCCAGGATCACCATGGGGTGAGCCACCTAGTGGTGGCAGCTCCTCAGAACCCACGGAGCCTGGGGTCACGGCATGCCCCCACAGTATGGCAAGGCCTAGGCCAAAAGGCCAGACTCAAGTGCACAGGGCACAGACCAAAGCACACTCCTAGAAATCAGCCGTCCACTTCCCAGGCATCTGGTGTCACAGAGGGCTGACTGATCACTCGACGTGATGGTTTAGGGTGGCAGGTCCCTTAACTAGTAAGCAAAACAGGCGTGCTACACACGCACAAATGTGTCTCCTTCTGGAGGGGCCCCAAGCTACAGCAGGGGGCCCCTACTTTTTGCTGTTTTCTGTATCCTTTCTGCCTGTCTCCCAACACCACATTCAATTTTATTAAATGTAGGCTTCACCAGGTCACCCTCCCTGGTCAGAATTCTCTAATAACTGCCTACAACCTGGCCTCCAAAACAGAAAAGAAAGGAAAGCAAGCCAAATCCTCCTAACAGCATTACAGCACCAAGGTCGCCACGTACCCCAGCACAGCCGGGAGACGCCAACCAAAACATCAGGCTTCAGCCCAGAAATGCGCACCTCTTCAAGGAACTCTGATGACAGGCCACATTTGAGACCACGACTCTGCTCCGTGGGCTGTCATGATAAATGTAGCAACGTACAGAGAAGGTAACGCAGCGGCACTGGGTGTTCCAAGATGCCACACATCCAAAGCAGCCCTGAAAGAGGCCCCAGCACAATGGATGACAAAGCAAGTGAAGGAACCTCCCCTATGCACAAGCAGCCCACTGCCTGGGGAATCTGAGGGCATGAAGGGGCCCCAGTCAGGCAGAGAATGGCTCCATGTGCCTTCGTAGAAATCATCCCCCGCTGCTCAGAAAGGACAGCAACACAGCACATTATCGTGTTTACTCTTCACACACGCAGGGTGAGAAAGGCACTGTGTTCTCCTTCACAACAAAGAGAAAACCGGCCCAGAGCAGCATCATTGCCTGAAGAGGTCCTGCCAGGTAGTGGAAGAGGGGGACCACGATCTAGCTCTGCCATACCATCTGTTTTCCCCATCAAAGACACAGAGCCCCAGAATCGCATGCTCCCCACCCCTTTAGCCTATGGTAGGCACGGGTGGCCTTCACCTCCACCAGACCAACCCATCCTCTCCCTCATCCAGGGAAAGCCAAGTGAACATAGAACGCAGAGCACATGGCCATCCCAAGGCCTAGCTCGCCCTTGTGCCAGCCACACTCAGGACAGGGCCCTCAGATGCAGAAATGGGACCAAAGGCTCAAGGAGTAGCTGTAGTTTTCAACTGGCCAGGAAACTTCCATGCCATCCTGGCCAGAGATGACAGCCGGCCTACATGCCTGGCTGGTCCTGAGTACTTGCGGCAGACACTGGACACCACAACGCTATAACAAGGCTGGTCTCAGTAGGCATGAGCAAGCCTCTGATCTCACTTACAGGAAAGAAGTCATGGAGGTGTCTCTGACCAGAGGTTCCCTGGGAGCAGGAGGGATGCCTTCTGGGTAGTTAATAAGCCCAGAGAACAGGTAAAAGCACAAAGCATTTAGGCCCTGCTGGGGCCAGCCCTACGTGAGTCTGAGTTCTACGGGGAGAGTTCAAGAGGAAACAGCAGCCTGGTGACTGCTTTGTGACTTAGCAAGGCAAAAAGAAAACAAATAGGCATCTTCAAGTCACAGCAAACTGAAGCCAACAATGCTGACCCGAGGTGGTGGATTCCAGAACCAGCAGTCAGACAGTGTAGTTACAGGACAGCTCTTTAAGAGTCTCAATCTTGGCCTGGTTTCTCACAGCAGCAGGAAAGATGACCAAGGAGCTGGAAGTCTTAAAACCTCACAAGCAAATAAAACAAAAGGCTGTTTAAACACCACAGGCCCTGTTCCCCCAGGCTTCAATGACTTTAACCAAAAAATGACTTCAATTAAAAAATCAATCCTGCCCAGCACATGGGCAGCCATGGAGACAGGGCCACTGGGCAGTCAGTCCCTGGGCAGGGCTGAAGGGCAGGGACCAAGTGAGCAACTGTCAGGCACGAGCACTACCCCAAAGGTCAGGCAGGATGCCAGGCGGAACACAAAGCCCACCCCACACCCTGCCCCCTCGCTGGCAATCAGAGGCTACAGGCACTGACTAGGACAACAATCCCCCACTGTGGCAGTTGTCTTTAACCCTAAAAACTCAGTTCATCTCCACTGGTTACAAGCACCTAAAAGGAATGATTTCCACAAAAGCAATTACTCCCTCAGCATATACATGAAAAGTCCTTTAACAAAGCCCAACAATACAGGGAAATCAGATACCTGCCACCACTTTGCTGTGGATATTCTGATTTTCAATGAAGATGTTATTAAGACTTCAGCAGGGAGAGTCGTTCGTTCCATGTCCCTCCTGCTGTGAAAGTACCTCATTAAACCTCAGCAGCATGGGACAAAAGCTCCCCCACAAGCCTGCAGAGGAGCCCGACTGGAGAAACCTCAGAGTGAGGAGGCAGGGACTGCTCCGCCATAGGCAAAACCAGCACAGACTCCTCCAAAAGGGACAACAGGAGGAACCAGCCCCTCCACCCACCTGAGGGTCAGGCCCGTCGTCTGGTCTAGCCGCTCCCAGCTCTGCAGTTTCGCCAGCAGCCTCTGAAAAGACAGAGAAAGCCATGTCCCCGTCATCACTGCCAAATGTTCATCACACAAATCCGACAGTAACGATAATGACACAAAGCCTCCCCAACCTTTTAGAATAAAAAGTCTGCCCTCCTCACTGAGCTTGGAGGCATAAACCCTCCAAGTCTGGGCTGGAGCCGTCAGGTTATTTCTGACGGCTGGAGCCAGGCTGCATGCTTGACGCCCATTCCCTCCTGGTCCCATGAGTGCAAGTGTGAATCCCAGCATGCCCCCACATGCCAAAAGGAATGTGAGGGCACAGAAAAAGCAAACAGCCTCACGGATGACCCTGTATCCGTCTACCCCAGGCAGCAACTCCACTCTCCCCCATCTTCCAGGGGCTCCTCAGAACAGCAAGCCCCACAGAGAGCAGCTCTGAGCTGGATGTTCCCCAGCCACCAGGTGGCCAGCCCTAGAGGAGAGGGGAGACAGAACTCAGCTCACAGGCTCACTGGTCCTTCTGGTTCACATGCCTGTTCCATACAGACCTATCTCCCAAAAAGGTGAGTCTCACTGCCCTTCCAGAAACAACTTCAGGGCAGGAGCTATGTGCTTCTGTCATGGACTCCCTTTACCTCTACCTGGTGCCAAGCACAGTGCTGTTGCCAATGCTTTCACTCAGTCCCTTGATATTCCCAGAGACCCTCTCACGTGCCAGGCACCTGCCTGGTTAATAGTTTTACAATAGTTAATACTACTGACGTTTACTGTTCTGAGCACTTGACATAAATTCACTTACTCCCCACAACCCCAGGGGCAGACACTGCTGCTACTCCTGAGAGGTTAAGGGGCTGGCTCAGGGCCACACGGCCAGCAGCATCCACACCAACACTTCAGCTAGGGAGTGATTCTAGAACTCCAAATCTTAAACAATTAAAAAAAAGAAAAAGAAAAAAGTATTTAGCTTGGGAACTATCTTTTCTAAGTTCCTAAAGAAGCCAGAATCTAGGAGGGGAGCCCCTGCTGGCTGCCCCAGCTGGCCACAGGGAACTCTGAGGCCCCACCAGGAACCTGGATGTGCTGCAGCTGAAAGGGACAGACCCCATGCCAAGCAAGGCAGGGAGCCCTCAGGGAGTGGCCAGCCCTAACAGGTGGGCAGCAACCCAGCACTAAAGGTGGTAGTTGATGCTCATACTCCTACGAGAACACGAACAGCTGGAGCCTGGGACACAGGTATGCCAGGTGAACCATGGAAGAGTGCCGTGGCCACAGAGAAGCAGCATGAAGGAGGGGAGACCCAAGCATGAGCCAGGAAGCCAACATCCTGGTCCAACTTGCTGTGCAGTGGGCAGGAGAGGGAGCCTCTCTGAACCCATTTCCTCCTCTGCCCATAAGATGACTTCAGAAGCCTCCCAGCACTGCCACCTTCCCACAGAGGGCCACCTGTGAGTCCCGACGGCAGACCCGGGAAACCCAACACAGGCCTCCGCTCACTCTGATCCCTCCAGATGCGTATGCTGCTTCCTCTCTGACTCACCATCTGTACTAGGTTTCCTACTGCTACTGAAACAAGTCACCACGAACTCAGTGGCTTCAAACAACATAAATTGAGTATCTCACAGTACTTAGTTCAGAAATGGAAAATGCATCTCCCTGGGCTAAAATTACAGAGTCAGCAGGCTGGCTCCTCCCTAGGGCCCAGGGGAGAACCTATTTCCTTACTCTTTCCAGCTCCCCGAGGCTACCACATTCCTAGGCTTGTAGCCCCTCCTGCCTATCCAAACTCAGCAGCAGCTGGTTAAGTCCTTCCCACGTCACTCTGACCTTCCCCTGTGTCACTATGACTTTCCCCCTACACACACAACTACACAGCTCACCTGATGACCCAGGACCTTCTTCTCCCTGTCAGGGATCAGATCAGCTACCTCGACCGACCCTTGATGTGCAAGGCCCTAAGGATTAGGACATGGACCTCTTTGGGAGACTCTTCTGCCCACCACACTGTCACAGCAGCATCCACATTCTAGGTGACCAGCTGTTCTGGGTAACAAACACCCAGGAGCCCCAGATGGGGCAAAGCACAGCCACAGGGAACCACACACCCCTCTGGGGCCCTCACCTCCTTCTCCAGCTCCAGGCTGACCAGCGTCTCCTGCATCTTCTCCTGGCGCCCCAGCCTCCTCTGCAGCCCCTCCAGCTCCTCCTGGAGAAGCCCATGGGTCTCTCTCATCTCCCTGATAGGGCCAGAAATAAGCACTCAGACAGCCACACACCCTGCGGAGGAACCCCAGAACTCACAGCGGCTGTAAGGCGGGCTGCAAGCCCAGGAGCCCAAACTCACTGTGCGGCCACCCGCCTATGCCCCTCTCACCGCAGGCGAGCGTTCTCCTCCCGCAACTGCTTGAGCTCCCGCTCCACCTTGGGGAGCCGCACCAGCTCAGACTTCATGTTCTTCACAATCGCAGCATCCTGCTCTTGCAGGGACAGCTTCTGCTCCAAATCCTGATGGAGGCCAGGGACAGAGAGGAAGAAAAAAGAGCAGCCATTAAAAGACATGGAGGAAGTTAGGTGCATATCACCGAGTAGAAGCAGCCAGTCTGAGAAGGCCATATACTGTAGGATTCCAACCACAGGATATTCTGGGAAAAGCAAGCTGTGGAGACAGTAAAAGGACCAGCAGTGGTCACAGGTTGGGGGGAGAGGCAGGCATGGACAGGTGGAGCCAGAGGATTCTCAGGGTGGTGGATGACACTCTAACGGACACAATCGTTAGATATTTATCCAAACCCACAGCACACTGAACACCAAGAGTGAGCCCTAAGTGAAGCAAAGACTCTGGGTGACATGCTGTACCGGTGCAGGGCCATCACCATACCAAACGCAATGCTCTAATGGAACACTGGTGGTGGGGAGGCGGTGCTGTGTGGGCAGGGGGTACATGGGAACTCTGTCTTCTGCTCAATTTTGCTGCAAACCAAAACTGCTCTAAAAAAATAAAGTCTATTAAAAAAATAAAGTCACGGAAGCCACAGTGTTCCTGTGGTAAACTGTCCAGGTCCTCAGCGGCCCCCATGGCTCGGGTACCTCTCTGGGAAGCTATGCCTGGCTGTGCCAGATGTGCCCTGATGCGGCGTCCTCAGTGCCCACTCTGCGGGCAGCGCTTCCCCGACCACCACGCTCTGCCTGAGGCCTTCACACCAACATCCTGCCATCAGGGAGGTTTCTGGGGACAGAAACCTACTTCAAGTCTGCCCAAAGACACTGGGCAGCAAAACATCCCACTCCCCCCCTTGTAATATCTGCTTCTGTCGCTCCAGTGACACACGTGTAATCACTGAGTCTTTCCAACAGGGAGCACAGACTTTTCCTCATACTATCTGGGCCCCTTGAGACACAATGGAAGACAGCTGGTATCCATTAGTGACAAGCCACCGAACAGGCTGAGAGGAAGAACCAGGACCAAATCAGTCAGTCAGTTGACAAACACTAACAGAGCCCATCTCTGTACCATGTATTGGGTCAAGCAGTGGGGACACAGTGGTACAGACATCAGGCCATCTAGGCAGACAGATCCTGAGGCTTGGAGGGAAGGATGAAACCCTGGGGGATGTCAGCAGGAGAAAGAGTGCCAGGGGCTAGCTGGGGACCGTGGAGCAGAACTGACACCAAGCCCAGGGGTGAGGGCACACAGGGGCCCAAGGGCCTGGCCAGGAGAGCACAGAGGACAGCGAGGGGCCAGGCCACATGACCTTGGCTCAGAGTCCAGGTGCTGCTCTAACAGCAATGGGGAGTCACCCCCTCTCTGGCAGCATCCTCTGCAGAGAAGTAGCAGGGCCTGAGTCAGACAGACCTGTCCCTGGGACCCATCTCAGCTATGCACTGGCTGGGTGACTCTGGCAGATGTGCAGCCTCTCTACGCCTGTTTTATGTTTTGTCTTCTCCCCAGCACTCATCAGTACTTGAAGTTATTACACACCTATGTTTTTTCTTAACAGGTTTATAGTTGTTCCTCCTCCAGTAGAACTCAAGCTCCCTGGGGGCAGAAATGTCTGCCCCACGCACTGTGGTGTCTCCAGTACCCAGCACAGCGCCTGGCACACAGGAGACAATCAGGTAACATCCAGGCCGCTGTCTGCAAATGCCACCAAGCACACCCCCAGCTCAGAAAGGCCTGCAGGTGGCCAGAGGGCCAAGACATCACTGCAACAACATGCCTGGGACTGAAACAAAGCGACTCACCTTAATCTGCTGCTCATGGTCTGCTCTCACCTCCTGACTGGCCTGGAGTTCCTGAATTTTCTGATGGGCTTCCTGCCACTTTCTATTAAAAGAATACACCGTGTGCAGAAACAGGAATGTGGTAAGGCCAGCAGTTCTCAGCTTCAGAGCCCCCCATCATAAACCTGTGTACACATGACACACCAACCACAGGATGTCGCCAAGATCCAGGATGCTGGCCCTGCTGGCTGACCCAGAGGCCTCAATCGCCCCACCTGTATAGGGCAGGGTAAGCCCAGACCACCCCAAGGTCCTCTCTAGCTGTGCAGCCCCACAGCTCTCCCGCTGCCCATAGCAGCTCACACCCGAAGCAACACCCAGCCCTGGTGCAACCGCGGTGGGGGGCCCTCTCAGGGCTGGCCTCTCCTCTCCATCAAGGAGCTAGAACTCTCCCAAGAAGGGAAGGGTCAAATTCTCCAGGAGGGTACCCAAAGTCTCCTGACCACAACTTCCATCAAGGCTCTCACACCTGAGCCTCTGCTGAGCTCATTCCCCGTGCCTAGATTGGCCCTTCCCAGCCGTACCCGCCCACCTCTAAGCCCCGTCCTACCACAACACCTTCTCAGAAGCCCTCTCCAAGAAGGCTTGCCTGCCCCTGTGCTGTGCAGGGACATTAAGACACCCTGCTATTGTGACCTCAAGGTCCTGGCTTCAGAGGCCTCAGTGTCTCTGCCCCTCCTAATAGTCTGTGGATGAAGACAGCATCCAAGGGTGCATCTAGATTCCACCTGGCCAGTAGGCTCACCTGGCAGAGGTGGGGCCTATACCCACACCTGACCCCCACCCCAGCTCACCGGTGCTGCAAGTCCAGCTGCTCCTGCAGCTCCTGCTTCTCAGACTCCAGGCGCTTAACCTGCATCTCCTGGTCCATCACGTTCCACTGCAGCTCCGAGATTCTTCCCTTTAACACGCCGACTGTCTGAGATCAGAGAGGGAACAAAGAGCCACTCAGGGAAGGAGGAGCCTGCTGCCTCCCACATGTCCAAACCAGGCTGGGGCCAGAGCTGCCCCCACTGACAGAAGGGACAGACATTAATGTGAGGGTCCTGCCCTCAACCCAGCACTCAAGAGCACACCATCCCAGAGATACCTTGTGCTGCCCATGAGCTGACAGAGTTCTGGGCCACGGCCAGGCCTCTGGAGGAGATGGTCCAGGCAGGAGGCTTTAGAAGCAAAGCTGCCACCAGCCAAGATGGACCTGAAAAGTCAGGCCTTGGCACCTAGCAGCCTCCAGGTTGGTGCCCCGAGCTCACAAAGTTGCCCCTGCCAGGTGTCCACCCATCCCCCATGCCAGTGCCTCGGTCTTCCCTCCAAACCATGGCTCTCATCATCCCTGGCCACCATGTCACCATTCCAGCTGTTGGCTAACAACGTCACCACAGACAATGGCAATGCACTTGCCAAGTAGGAAATGGAGCCTGTGACTGCTAAGTTACAAAAGCTACACAAAACAGGTGCTGACAGGCCTTTGAGACACAGCCCATAGGCCAGTGGGCAGGGCTGCAGCCTGCTGGGGAGGCCTTGTACTCAGAAAGAGGTGTCTAGAAAGGAAAGGAGAGCACCCTAGGGTGGCTCCCAGGCAAAGCCAGCAGGGCCCGTTCAACAGCCTCCAGGACCTCGGGTCCACCTGATGCCACTGTGACAGAACATGGAACCACTAGCCTTCGCTCTGACCACACCTCACCAGGCAACCGGCTAATGACCCCAGCTCAGAAAGTCCCAGCTCTCCCAGGGAAAGAGCCAACACAAAACGTCAGCTAGGCAAAACAAAACAAAACCAAAAAAAAGAACCAAAAACGTCAGCCCATTCCAAAGTGTTGCCGTCAAATTAATACATGGAAAAGCATGAGCCTCATGTCAACCCCAGGGGACCATGTGCCAAGGGCAAGACAATGAACCCAGCAAACACACTCAGTAACACTGGGCAGCCCATCTGAGGCCAGTAAGTACCCTCGTCAAAGAAGCAGGCTACAGCACTGTACCCAGGTCCCACTGACACATGTAACCACTATTCACCCTCCACCCTCAGTCTATGTGGTGTCCTTACCACACAGTGAGGAGCAATCTGGGACTGGAGAAGAAAGGTACTAGCATACCTGACAGTGAGCATGTCCTTGCAGAGAAAGGTACTAGCATACCTAACAGTGAGCATGTCCTTGCAGAGAAAGACACTAGCATATCTAACAGTGAGCATGTCCTTGCAGAGAAAGACACTAGCATATCTAACAGTGAGCATGTCCTTGCAGAGAAAGACACTAGCATATCTAACAGTGAGCATGTCCTTGCAGAGAAAGACACTAGCAGGCCGGGCGTGGTGGCTCACACCTGTAATCCTAGCACTTTGGGAGGCCGAGGCGGGTGGATTGCTCAAGGTCAGGAGTTCAAAACCAGCCTGAGCGAGACCCCGTCTCTACCAAAAATAGAAATAAATTAATTGACCAACTAAAAATATATATACAAAAAAAAAAAAAAAAATTAGCCGGGCATGGTGGCGCATGCCTGTAGTCCCAGCTACTCGGGAGGCTGAGGCAGTAGGATCGCTGAGTCCCGGAGATTGAGGTTGCTGTGAGCCAGGCTGACGCCACGGCACTCACTCTAGCCTGGGCAACAAAGTGACACTCTGTCTCAAAAAAAAAAAAAAAAATAGAGTCTACCTTCTCATCCTAAAAAAAAAAAAAAAAAAAAAAAAAAAAAGAAAGACACTAGCATACCTAACAGTGAGCATGGCCTTGTAGAGAAAGACACTAGCATACCTAACAGTGAGCATGGCCTTGCAGACATCTCACTGAATTCAATATACACTGAGCACCAGGTGCTGTATCCAGCACTATGGAGAAGACAGTCTGCCCTCAGGAATGGCACACAGTGGGGAAACCAGACCACTGACAAGGTAACCTCAGAGAGCAGGGTGCAGCACATCAGCTCCTTACTGTGACAGGAGACTCCAGACTGAGTGACCGTGGCCCTGGAGGCTTCTCTGAGGAGCTGCCGGCTAAACACAGGTATGAAGAGGAAAAGCAGCAACATGTGCACTGCCAGCCACTCTCTTCTCCATGCAGGATCCACTGCACCCACTCTGCTGCGCCTTCAGCAAGGGTCTCGCCCCCTTCTGCTCCCCATGAAATGCCATGCCTGACTCACCCACCCCCAAGGAACTGGGGACTCTGCACCGAGAAGGGGCAGCCCAGAACACAGGGCCTGGGACAAGAGCTCAGGTGAGGCACGACTGGCTGCTCAGGAAGCGGGTCACGCCTCCTCTCCTGCCAACGCTCCCTTCAGAAGACAGATGTGGGAACAGCCTTAACATGCTCCCAGCACTGCCAGGGCAGAAACAACCTGCAGCCTGCTTCTGGGGATCTATCAAGGAGAGAACACCACGCAGACACAGAATGCCAATGAGGCCACATGCCCCCACCCCTAGCAGCTCTTCATCTGTTTCCTCTTGGCACCTGTGGCCTTGAGCACCTCAGGAAAGAGATAAGAAGGGACAGGAACAGAGATTCCCATTTCCACCAGCACTGATGTCAGGGCTCTGTTCCCAAAAGGTACACACACTTCACTTGGGCTACAGTTCATACAGACTGTGGTTCAAAGACATCCTCAGATGCCAGCAGACGGTAACAGACCTTGCTGATAATCAAAGAAATGCAAATCCAGAAGACCTAGTGAACTGCCATGTGAGTTGTGTTTAACTCACACTAGTGTTGGACCCCAGGGCCTTGTGAAGCATACGTAACTCACAAGTCTCTTCACCTTGGGAGCCATGTGAACTATTTTTGAAGTTGCATATAACTCACACACAGAAAACAATAAAAAATTTTTCATTAAATTAAAAAGGACTGTTGGCCGGGCGCTGTGGCTCACGCCTGTAATCCTAGCTCTTGGGAGGCCGAGGCGGGCGGATTGCTCAAGGTCAGGAGTTCGAAACCAGCCTGAGCAAGAGCGAGACCCCGTCTCTACTATAAATAGAAAGAAATTAATTGGCCAACTGATATATATATGAAAAATTAGCCGGGCATGGTGGCGCATGCCTGTAGTCCCAGCTACTCGGGAGGCTGAGGCAGAAGGATCACTCAAGCCCAGGAGTTTGAGGTTGCTGTGAGCTAGGCTGACGCCACGGCACTCACTCTAGCCTGGACAACAAAGTGAGACTCTGTCTCAAAAAAAAAAAAAAAAAAAAAAAAAAAAAAAAAGGACTGTTTTGTTTTCAAAGTTTTTATTCTATGTTTGCAATAAAACACTGTGGTCCAAAGGAAAAAATTTTTTTCTAGTGTGGCAGTCAATGTGTAAAAGCTTCTGACAAAAAAACGTATTTCCAGAAAATACCACCATCCATGACAGGGAAGGCTGTCGTGAAACTAGACTACTCAACAATGGCTATTATTACAATATACCAACTGGTTGCAACAGCCACAGAGACAGCTGGAATGGGGAACCCCACAATCCCACTCCAGAGGGTCTATCCACACAAAATAAGTCACAGAAGCAAAAGATTGTATGCATGAAGCTACCTGCCACAGGTATCTGGGGGAAGAAGAGGTATACAAAAAAACAAAACATTTGAAAATGGCAAAAAAAGAGTTAGACAACCGTTACAATTCATAATTGTAACAAGTGCTCAACCTCTTAACTACAAATCACAGATGGAAAATTAATATTTTTACTACAATCACAACTACGCCAAAAATGCAGGTAGGTGCCTATGTGGGAAGTACAACTGAAAAGTAAAAAGGTCGTGGTGCTACAGTGGTGTGGTCTGGAGCTCATTCATTCTTCCTCCCTGGACAAAGGGCTGCAGAAAAGAAGGCTACCCCAGCCGCTACAGGGCCTGTGCTCACCTCACCAGCCTCAGCCAGGCTGTCCTCCTTCTCCCGCAGCTTCTTGCTGGTGGCCTCCAGGCTCTGCTGACACAACCTGTTGCGTTCCAGCTGCTCCTTCATCTTCTCCTCCACCCTGGCCTCCCGCTCCTGAAGCTGCCGGATGCGTGTCAGGAGCTCCTGGTTGCGGTCAACCTCGCGCTGTCATGAGGGCAAGAGTGAGATGCCCAATGCCACCAGACAGAGAGTCAGAGCAGGGAGACCCCAAGCCTGACTACTCTTGGGACAGGCCACCAAGGCCCAGAGAAGAGTCAGGCAGGACCCATTAGCCATGTTGGCAGCAGAACAAGGGCCAGGACCTGGGACCCCAATTCTGATGTCCCACTCCAGCAGTGGCAGAACCATATCTCCTCTTGTGAGAACCCAGGACCCTTGGGAGGGCACTTGGCATGGGTCACACCATGTACTCATCACAACATCTGCTCACTGATCGTCTCTGCGGGGAGGAGACACAGCATGGAAAATTTGAAATTCAGAACTGACCTTGGAAAGAAGCTGAGCTTTTGCAGCACCAGCAAATTTTGGCTATCTGCACTCTGGCCATCGTTTAAATGAGTCGGCATTCCCCCAACGAGCAGATGACCAAGGAGAGATAGATGGCATGGACAAGAGGCTGCAGACAGAAACAGTTTACACTGGGCACAAACCTGCTAAGAGTGCAATCCTCTCACACAAACCTCCAGAGCCACCCATGTTATTAACCTCAGGGAGGCTATGTGGCTTGTGCTGGTAAGGAACAGACAGAACCAAGACCCACATGCAGACCTCTTGACTCTTAGGACCCCTGGGGATTTAAGAGTTCCCTGGCACTGAGAAGGGACTACAAAGTAGGCGCTAGAGTCCCGAGAGGCACAGGTGGTAAGTCCTGGCTCCATGGCACCTGCACTCTAGCAATCTCTCACCCTGTCTTCATCAGGAAGCTGCGTGCGCAAGCTCCCTCCAGGAACCCACACGTATGTCCAGAGCTTCTCTTACTCAGATTAAGTACCTATAACACCCCTGCACAGGGTAGTCCTGCCCAAAACCAAGGAAAAGTTTAATAAAAGCTGCAGATGGTGTTGTTGCCTGCTAGAGGGAAGGCTCATCCACAGGGGGCTCCAGAAGACAGCAAGCTGCAAAGACAGCCTCCCAACAGCCAGGGGCCCTGCTGTGGTGCATATGTTAGTGCAAGGCCTGGTCAGCATGTCAGAGCCAGAATGTGGCACAGCTGCTGGAGCTGCCAGTCCCGAGTGCAGATGGGGCAGTTTGGCAGCTCCTCGGGCCTCAGATACCTGGGTCTCTCCACCTGAGAGCTATTAAATATTTCCAGGTGGGATGCCGAGGAACACCTAGAAAACTGCTGGCTCTGATAGTTCCTGGGGTCCCACTCAGCTGTGTCCGGGCAAGGAAGGAAAGGCCTCTTAGATGGTGGTTCAAGCCCAGCAGGGGGCCCAGGTCCAAGCTCAGTCACCCCCCACCCCATGCTCAGATTTCCCCAGGAAAGAACCTTCAGAGACCTTGCAGCAATCCTTCTCCCATTCAAATGTTTTCTGAGGACCCATGAGGTGCCACAACCTGCACCAGACACTGGAGATCCCAAGCATTCAGACAGGTCCTGCACTTGAGGGACTCATGGCCCAGAGAAACTCCAATAGCGCCACACCCCCTTTCTCCTGCCTAAGAGCCAGGGCCACGCCACCAATATGACACTTCCTGCAGTCTGATGGCCACCTCCCCAGTCCCATGAAATGGCAGTTTAACAGCTGGGAAGACTCCTGTGGCCTCCTGCTCCCTTCCCACCAATTCCTCCACGACTCCCCTCCTAGGACCAACCCAGGCCATGAGCAAAAGCCCCACATCACAGAGAAAACACCAGTCTGGGTAGCAACAGGCCAATCCTAAGGCAGCGGCATCTCAGCCCCGGCAGTGGCTCTTGGCTTCCTGAGCCCACATAGCACACCACAGCCAGGAATCTGCACACCAGGTTCAAAGAAATCCAATTAGACCCAAGCCCTGGAAGACATTAGCTATCTTTTAGGGACTAGGAAAGTGTGTGAATATACCATGTCAGCCAAGAAAGGGGCCAGACATCCATCCTCAGGGAAAGGGTAAAAAGCCAGAGACTTTCTGTCTGATGCTCTGCTTAACTCTTGGCAGTATTTCCACAAATGATCAGCACTTATTGAAAAACCTGGCAAAGTGCTGTTAATCAAAGGAAAGGAAATAGGATTCACACACTAAGCAAAAACCAAATACTTGCCCTAAGTAACAGGAGCTGTGCTTTCCCAGCTGCTCTGGGTAGCCCAGGAGCAAAATGAAGGCTCTTTGCTCTGAGGCCCTTCGCCCAACCCAGCAAGCCCCAGTGTTGACCCCTAGACCCCTGTACCCAGTGACCTTGTAAGCCTATCACCCCCATGCCAGCTACTACTTCTGCCAGATTTGCATTCCAGTTCTCCCAGAGGGAGGAGGAAGTGGGAGCCCTGGCAAAAGGATGTCTCCAGCTCTACAGCCTGAGCAGCAGACATGGTAAGGGGGCCACCCTTTGTGACTATCACCATTTCATGCAACCTACTCAGGACATCACACACAGCTGTACCTGCCCTGCACTATCACGTGGCCTCAGAAGGAACACCTGGCAACCCTGATGCAGAGCACTATGGACTACCAGCTGCCTGGTTCTGATTTCTTACAACCTGGTGGGTACTGTGCACAGCCCCAGGCCTCCCAGGGCTGGCTGGACTGACCCTTGCCCCGTGTGAACCCACCTCATAGTTCCTGGCACTGGTGCTGGCTGCTCTCTCCAGCTCCACTCGAGCCCTCTTGTGACTCAGCTCCATCTGCATCTTCTCCCGCTCCACTTGGATGAGGTGGGACTTCGAACGAATCTGCTCTGCTCTTTCCTCCAACTGAGCAGGTTGTACCCAGAGAAAAACAGAACCACAGTAACTGCATCAAACGAGGTGAGTGGCTCGATTCAGCAGACACCTTCCCTGAGCACCTATTCCCAGCAAGGGCCTGAGCTAAGTCATGAGGGTAGAAGGAAAAATGCCGCATGCCCCCAGTTGGGGATTGGTGGGAGACAGCATGCAAAGGGAAGATAAAAAGCATAAGAGAAAGATGTATTTTAAAACAACAGTGTGTATATTTGTTTAGGAAAGACAGTGTGCCAATTTTCTATTGCTCTGTAACAAATTACCACAAACTTAGTGGCTTAAAACACCACCCACTATATTGGTTGACTGTTCTGTAGGTCAGAAGTCCAGACACATGGCTGGGTTCTCTGATCAGGGCCTCCCAAGGCTAAAATCAATGCAGATGGCCAGATGTGTTCTCATCTGGAACTCAGGATCCTGCTACAAGCTCCTAGGGCTGGAAAACCAAGGTCCTATTTCCCTGCTGGCTGCTAGCCAAGGGCTGCTGTCAGCTCCTAGAAGCTGCCCATAACCGTTGTCACTTGGCCCTCTCCATCTCCAAAACCAACCACACCGAAGCTCCTTTCATCAAATCCTTCTCCTGCTCTGAGTCTGACTTCTCTGCCTGACATCTACCCAGATTCAAAGGGCTCATGTGATTAAGTCAGGCATACGCACGTACTCTCCCTTTCTTAAATCAAAGTCAACTGTTTTGAGACCTAATTATTATTACTCTTTTTTCTGAGTCAAGGTCTCACTCTGTCACCCAGGCTGGAGCATAGTGGCTCTATCGTAACTCACTGCAGCCTCAAATTCCTGGGCTCAAGCAATCCTCCCACCTCAGCCTCCAGAGTAGCTGGGACTACAGGCACTCATCATGATACCCAGCTAATTTTTTTTATTTTTTGTAGAGATAGGGTCTTGCAATATTGCCCCAGACTAGTCTTGAACTCCTAGCCTCAGATGATCCTCCAAGCTTGGCCTTCTGAGTCCCTGGGATTACAGGCAGGAGCCATAGCACCCAGCTCGGGAGACCCACTGGTCAGTGTTTGACTGAATAACAGGAAGAAGGTAGAGAAAGTGAGTGTCCACCAAGGGCCCAGAATCTGGGGCCATCTTAGAAGCCTGCATACTACAGGAGGGTAGGTACACACAGGTGATCCAAGCCTCAAAGGGTGACAGGAGACACACCAAACAGTTCCAGAGCAGGTCTTTGGGTACAACCTGCTCAGCTGAGGGAAAGAAGTATCACCCACTCTTCATGTGGACTAGAGCCGTGCGGTCCAGCAGCACAGCACCTCCTGGGCACATAACAAATGCAGAATCACAAGCTACACCCCAGACTTACTGAATCAGAATCTTCTTTCTAAACAGTCTCAGGGGATTCACATGCACATGAGAAGCACTGGGCTAGATTGGTGGTCCCCAACAGAGCAATTTTACTCCCAGGGAACATTTGGCACCGTCTGGAGAGACTTCTGATTGTCACAGTGGGTGGAAGTGTGTGTTTGCTACTGGCATCTAGTGGGTAGAAAGCAGGGATGTTGCTAAACATACTACAATGCATAGGAATATCCTGAAATTATCCAGCCCAAATGTTAACAGTACCAAGGCTGAGAAACCAGGACTAGAGCAAGGGCATCTCCTCCGCTCTCCCACCTATTTTCTTTGGTGGCCCAAGTCCATACTTTCTTTATTCCTATTATACTTTCTCTCACTTCGATTCCCAGCTGTTGATATTGGGGAATCCTAAGTCTGCCCTTCAAACCCACTAGCCTTCCTGAGCTTCTCCAGAGGGTGGGGATCCCACGTGCAGGGGGCGCCACCACACCAAGACCAGCAGTCCAGACACCTGATCCAGGTGCCTCACCTGCCTGCAGCACTGCCTATATCTCAAAGATAACAACTTCAAGGTTACCATTATATTGAAATAAATGCTGGCAGCACTATCTACATCTCAAAGATAGTAACTTCAAGCTTAGCTTTATATTGAAATAAACACTGATGCGTGACAGAGCAGACACTAAACACTTCCAACTAAAACAGGAGCCACTGAAAGAGGGGAGGGGTGGGCCGGCAAGGCATCTGACAGCTGTCCCCAGACTCTCCAGACCTGCCTTTCCCTCCAGTTCCTCACCCGCAACGATTGGGGGCTCAGTAGGAAGAGAAAGAATGACAGTCCCAGAATAGGACACAACCATGGCCAGGAGCTGAGGCAGGTCTTATGGTCCTGACTCTACTGACCAACTCGCTTTGGCTACAGCACTTGATTACTGATACTCAACTGGGAAGCCCTAAGAGTGGGCGCTAAGGACTTCCAAGGTTCAATTTACAATCTAGAATCCTATGGTTTTGACAGATAGGCAAAAAGGTTCCAGACATTTGCATCAAAAAAAATTATAGCATTTTTATGGCCAGGCTCCATGGCTCACACCTATACTCCCAGCACTTTGGGGGCTGAGTAGGGAGGATTGCTTGAGGCTAGGAGTTCGAGACCAGCCTGGGTGAGACCCTGTCTCTACAAAAAATAGAAACATTAGCTGGGTGTCATGGCATGCACCTGTGGTCCCAGCTACTCAGAGGCTAAAGCAGAAAGATCACTTGAGCCCAAGAATTTGAGGTCATGGTGACCTATGATCGGGCTACTGTACTCCATCCTGGCTGATAAAATGAGACCCTATCTCTTAAAAATAAAAAAATAAAATAAAATTATAGCATTTTTAAGTCCAGAGTTGCCAGCTTCTTATTTCGCCAGCGATCAAAAATAACTACCATCTATTACCACCATCACTGATCTCAGAATAAAATAACCAAGACCTAATCTCAGGCCAGGCGCGGTGGCTCACGCCTGTAATCCTAGCACTCTGGGAGGCTGAGGCGGGCGGATTGCTCAAGGTCAGGAGTTCGAAACCAGCCTGAGGAGCCACAAAAAATAGGATAAAATCACTACCACCACCAACGAAAAATTTTTTTTTTTTTTGAGACAGAGTCTCACTTTGTTGTCAGGCTAGAGTGAGTGCCATGGCGTCAGCCTAGGCTCACACAACCTCGATCTCCTGGGCTGCGCAATCCTACTGCCTCAGCCTCCTGAGTAGCTGGGACTACAGGCATGCGCGCACATGCCAGCTAATTTTTCTATATATATTTTTAGTTGGTCAATTCATTTCTTTCTATTTTTAGTAGAGACGGGGTCTCACTCAGGCTGGTTTCAACACTCCTGACCTTCAGCA